ATCATTGCATAAGCGCAAACAAGTGGTTATAAAACATCTGCAACTGTTCAATGATATGTCTGTGCGTGCAACATTTGTACATATCTTTAGCGTCATTTAATAACATGTTGTTCAATAAAAAATTACATGGTCACCTTCGCTGCGCATGCTTCGCATAACGTCGATTCCTACGAGGGATCTACCGAATTTTTGTTGTCTTGTTTCGTTTTTTAATTTATGTTGTTTTATGACAACGGCACACATCTCGCTGCTCTTTGCTGTTTTTCAATCACATGAGCTGCAAATCTTTCCATGGGCTCCATGTGTCGGAATCAGAATAGCATTGTTCAAAATCACGGAGGTCTGCTGATTATGGCGCCACCTGTCTACTGAGAACCGATAATCTATAGCACTTTTTTGTGTGTGTTTTGCACTCTGCAGAACCACAAGCTTGGTGAAACGTGGAATGAGCTTAGGTCAGCGGCTTACTTTTTTAGGTCCCCGAAATGTCGGCTACAAAACTCTTCAGACTTTCTTGAAAGTACTTTTGTCAAATTCTCGATGCGGGATGCTCAATGTTTCAATTCACCTGTCAGGCCTCTTGTGTGATATCTCCGAGATGCGTTAGTACGCGAGGTTTTACATGTGGCAGCACTTCATGCTCATTCTTCTTGTAGCCTCTTTTAGGTTTGATGTGGGCAATCAGCCAATCAAGGCAAAAAAAAAAAGAAACGGCGGAATTGGGGGCGAAGACACACAAAAACTATCGGAGGCAACAGCCCTAATTAGAGGGCGCAAATTAAATGCGCGCCGCAGCGAATTTCCAAGTTGTAGCAAGAGGCTTATATGCACCTTGATCACTGGCATGACCATGATTTGGAGACATTCGCACGTAGCGCCATTACTCGTCGGCGGCAGCGGCGGCCTGCCGCAACTGAATGGGAAACAGAAGGGGAAAAAAGTCATATCTGACAAAAAAAAAAAATGAGTGATCAAAAACGACTCACACTTCTATACAACAGAGATTTAATTAAACATTAAGTTAAAATTTGTGTCGCCCTACAAACGACGTAGCACCCTGGAGCATTTAATGTTTTGCAACAGGGCTCCATGTATTTCCGAAGGGCAGTGTTCTGTTGTCCTGGGAAGCCACACCCTATAGGTAGCGCGATACTGCAATTTCACCATAATGCTTCAGTAGGTCTCTTCTACATCATCCTGTAGAAGAGACCTACGTCTATGATAACTGAAGCTTATTTCAAACGATATGATTTTTTTGCCTATTTCTCATCGAGTTATGGCTGGAGGCCGTTCCTGCCGCCGAGAGACGGCGCCACGTACAGATGTCTCCCATTCCCAAGAATGACATAATTGGTCAACGAATACCTGAAGCAGTGACTGTATGACACAAATGCGCAACTATTTGTCAAAAGTATATTGCAAGGCTACACGACATTACCGGCCTTCACTAGGCTCATTTCTTTGATGCGTGTGTGTGTCAAGTTCCAGAACCCTCCAGAATTAAAAAAATATATAACTTTCTTACTGGCCACTCACACGCCTTAATTTTAAGGAAGGGAAAGAGGGTCACGGGAGCTGCCACCGCAATGACGAACATAAATTATGCAGGGTTAAACGTAGTTTCACGCTTCACGTCTTGTGTCACATCAGAAGAAGCCAGTCCCAGCAAGGATATGTGGAGTCAATCCTCGTTGAGCACGCTCAATATGAACTGCGGATGTGCCCCGCGTGACTATTTCAATATAATCGATTACAACAGCTCACCACGGGCAAAGTACTTGGACCAAAGCCAGTTCAGTTGTTTGGCGACATTGCCCCGCCGCGGTGGTCTAGTGGCTAAGGTACTCGGCTGCTGACCCGCAGGTCGCGGGATCGAATCCCTGTTGCGGCAGCTGCATTTCCGATGGAGGCAGAAATGTTGAAGGCCCGTGTGCTCAGATTTGGGTGCACGTTAAAGAACCCCAGGTGGTCGAAATTTCCGGAGTCCTCCACTACGGCGTCTCTCATAATCACATGGTGGTTTTGGGACGTTAAACCCCATATATCAAACAATCAATGTTTGGCTACATTTTTGGTGCACACTAACCTCTGACTCCTTGTATACTACCGTTTGTATTTTTCGCGGTGTTTTCATTTAAAGGTGCCACCTCGTGATCATTTTGTTCTTATAGGCGAACGAATAAATACTAGCGTGGACTTTTGTGATGTGTGACCATGATCTGTGCGCTTTTTATGTGCTTGCATTCTTCATGTGCTTGCATTCTGATGTCTGTGTTGTTGGTCTCCAATAACCTTTGTTTTTACAGCTAGTTCGTGGTGAATTAATGAGTAACGCAGGGAGCGTAGCGCATCTTTTTGAGGTCTCAGACTTTCTAAAATGAAGCCATATAATTGCGCGAAGTAGTACATACGCCAGCAGCACAACGTCCAAGAATTCGGAACTTTCGCTTCCAGTTTTACGCGAACCCCTAAAACTTTTTTTTTTGCAGGAACAAAAATGTTTCAATATACGTCTCGCGATCTCCCTCCAAGAATATTCCTCGTGGATGTTCCCCTGTCTGCTGTTCAATCCGCTTGCTCCATGTTCATTATTTCTATAAGGAAGCGTAGACGGTCTGACTACTTGCTCAGTAAGCAATCCCATTTATTCGAAGTTTTAATATTAGCCTAATTTTTCAGCTTGGTTTCAGTTTTACAGGCTATTACTTGAAGCATCCTACCGCCCTGTTTTATTCCCCTTTGTGGGTGAGTGCCATCCATACGAGGTCATCACACAATCTTTGCTGCCCTCTCTCGTTGGGAAACGCTTTGGTGTATGAGGCAGAGTTTGGTGTGGTGGTCCGAAATCGTCAGTATGAAAGCCTCCGAGATCAAGTGGCGTCAGGGATAATACCAAAAGCTTCGCAACATCGCCGCCAGAGAAAGGGCGCCGGCGCCGTGAAAAAAAAAAAAAAAATACGGACCGAAGTGCACCATCGTGACACGGCAGTAACCAATTACTACCAGCTTTACTTTTCTTCGCACACACGAACCATAACTGCTATATAGCCGAGTTCATCGAAAGCACATAGAAGTATTTAGGTGTTTTCGCTAAACTCAGTCGTAAGCCTCTGCCTGCGTGTCGCTATTCATTCCCTCGACACCCGCCCTGCCGCGCAGTTTGAAATACACATAAACCATGGTTCGCATTAAAATATGCCACAGCGCACTTTACCGTGCGACCAAAAATCAGCAAGTCCGTGGTACATATCTCTGCCGCAAATGATGCAAAAAATGGGCACGGTGGATCGGATCTGATTCTAGACAAAACTGCTTTTAAGGACACGAAACTTTCCAACTGATAGTATTCCAAAGATCAATACATACTTAGACTACACATGACCATACAATAACGGTGCGTCCTGCGCGCATTAAACAGCACTGTCTATCGTTTCATACGCACGTTCATTATCCGATTTTTTTTTTCGCGCGAAGGGCGCCTTTACGCGATAATTTTTAGTGCAGCAACACAATTCTACCGTTTTCTCTTTACAAGCAGAAAACAAGCGGTCAGAATGTACACACATATCTGAAGTTATGGACATTTACGCGAAGGAAAATACTTTTGCAATGCTTATTACAAAGTAGCTTTTAGAAGGTTTATGACGTAGATCCTCAGAACACAAACACTAATTCAAGCTTCACTGTATTCGCGGGCTTGATTGATTTGTGGGGTGTAACGTCCCAAAACCACCATATGATTATGAGAGACGCATATTCGCGGGCTTGGCCAACTTACCTTCAGCAATGGCAAGATACGTGCTGCAACAAGCGTTTTTATCAAACGTGCCAGATCAGTTCATTTTTAGCATGACCGAACCGTCATAGAGAGAGGCGAAATGCAAAGGCAACACCTCGCTCTTTGATTGGGTTCAGGCCAAAATAGCTACCCACTGGGTACGCAAGAGGACCGCAAAGCACAGGAACTGTGGTTTCCATATGCAACTTACGCGGCTGCTAAATGGGAACCGAAAAGGTTGCCCCAGAACTTTACCACAGGCGTGGTGCTCCCCTATAGCGTACGGGTGCTCTCGGATGAAAGTTATAATATCCGGGGTTTAGCATCCAAAAACTACGATTTGATTATAAGAGAAGCCGTAGTGGATGGCTCCGGAAATTTCGACCAGCTCGGCTTTTTTCAAAGTGCACGTCAATTTAAGTACACGGACCTCAAAACATTTTCTCCTCCACCGAAAATGCAGCCGCCGCAGTCCGAATTCGATCCCGCGACCTTCGAGTTAGCAGTCGTATGCCATAACCACTATATATAGACTACCGCGGCGGGACATCGGATGAAAGTACAGGCCAGTAAGCGGGTGACCACATGACTTGTGGTCACCCGCCATGGCAGCTTAGCAGGTAAGGCACTGCGCTGCTGAGCTTGAGAACGTAGGTTCGATTCCCGACCATGGCGGCCGTATTTTTATGAGAGCCAAATGCAAGAGCATACGCGTACTTATTTCGACGCACGTTGAAGGTTGCTTAGTGGTAAAAATTAGCCCAGAGTCCCACACTACAACGTGCCGCAATCACATACTGGAAGTGGCACGAAAAACATCAAAAATAGATCGTACTGGGTGGTTTGTTGTCACCCTCTCAGAAGTGACAGCTATGACGTTTCATGCAATGGTCACAGCATTACACATCTGAAACATGCGCTTGAAAAAAAAAAAAACTGCGTGGCCTGGAATGCGAATACACTAACATAATAAACTAAACTAACAGCGACCTCAGTATTGTAACAGTAACATAATAAATAAACTAACAGCGACCTCAGTATTGTTGAACCGCTGCATGCGATCCAGGCTCGTGCAGCGGCTAAAGTCCCGACACTGCAGTGAGCATAGTAGCCAACACAACAAGGTTTTGAAGCCGAGGCGCGCGCCACTGCGCTGTCAGCAAGTTGTCGACGCCTTCTCGACGAAAGCTTTAAGAACACTTGTGTCGCTGTTCGAAAGAAAGCCGTATTTTTATCCGTTTATTTAAACCAACTCCAGGCCCCTTAGGCAAGGGATACATCAGTCACACAGTTGTACAAGCACCTCTTTCGCGCGCACGCTCTCTGAAGCACCAGCCGCAAAAGCTAGCATGCGTCTGGCAATGTGTCCCGGCAACCTTGCTTTTCGACCTCCACAACAGGCGCGGCAAAAGGCTGCCGACATTCCCGACACACAGCCTTTGTGCGGCGACCTCGCATACGCTCCGCATCAATTCAGAGCAGCAGCACTAAGAAAGCGAAATGATAGAAACAGCAATTGACAACGACTACTTCCGGCAATTTCGAAACGTCTTCCGAGCACTCCATTCGCGACGCCACTCGAGAATCGTTATCCAGGCAAAAGTATGGCGTACGACGCCACTGTTGTCGCGGCGAATTCAACAATCCGCTAACGTCCGAGAGCGCAGAAATGAGCTTCGTGTCCACTGATGCAGTGGAAATGTCCGCACTGAAATACGTGAACTTTATTCGATGCGATAAGCACTGGCTGCTGTACCGTGTTTTCGCGCACATCTTACGCGCATGGTCGACAGAATTACGTCCGCCCGATGAAGCGCCTGCCCTTTGGGAGTACAGGGTCACGGGGCACTTGCGCACGGCATTCAAAGATAGACTTTTCGTAAACGGATGGGCCATCTTTAAGCCCGCATTCACTGCGCCCGCAGCGGTTTGCCGTTCGTTCGCACTGTAATGCTAGCCGATCGTGCTGTAGATGTTGAAAAGTTTCTTCGGTTATCCCGCTGGCATTTGTATTGTTCGAATCGAGTACCAGGCCTCAACTCGCGCTTTCGTAAATCGGCGCTTGCGTAGACGTCTGAACTCGCAGTGTCCTTGCTTACGACTCGTATTGTACAGCGACCCCGCGAGTTGCTGTGATAACAAAAAAGAAACGAAAAATGCCCGGAGTCGCTTAACTGGGCAGCCTTATCGAACCGGTCGCGTGACGCAAAGGCGCAGCTGTTCTTTCTTCCAGGGCAGCGCTAAGCGAACCATAATCCTGACTACCGCGCCGTTTTTTTTTCTCTTTTTTTTTGTGCCACGACACCACTGTATACACTTAAGTTCACACGTATGACTAGTGAGGTATGAAAAGCAAAGTTCATATTTTGCATTTCAAAACTGTGTCAGCACAACGAAACACAGCTGCCACCCTAATTTGAACACATAGTGGCGTCAACAAGAAAACAAAAATGTTGCATAGCAGCCACTGCACCAGCAGCATCAATTAGTCCAGCAAAAGTCCTCAGTGTGCTGTCAATCATGCTTCGTTTTCGCTACATCGGTTGCTACAAGAACAATTTACGAATGCGGGGCATAATCTGTAGAATACACACATGTGCTACAAAATATACCACACGCTCGTTTTCTTAGGAACAAACACAATCTGCAGAAGGCAGTTTTTTTTCTTCTCACAGGTGGTTCGCCTACGCTGCAGGGAAAGCCGAGTTTTGCATTGGCGTCCAAGCAGACAGGAGTGGTGCTAACCAAGAGAGATGTCGATTCTGACAGCTGGGTGTGACTTGCATAGAGCCCCAACCATGACGGCCGTCGCAGGACCCAAACATTAGGATTCATGCAGTCTTTTATTCTGCCATTGCAACGACTATGACCACTTCTCTCCGGACAGAGTTTTTTTGTTCTTTTTTTTTTAATGCGGGATAGCCAGCCAGTAGAGCAGCGTGTCGCAGTAGCTGCAGGAGCCACGATTCCTTCTTCCGCACCTCAGCGAGAACCGCAGCCCACAAGGCCAGGGATTGCAATCTGTACAACTCGGCATGGGAACCACAACTGAGAAATATATCTGTAACCAAGATAGTAGCACAGACTGCTTAAAATGAGGGAATACTTTGCAGCCACTGAATAATGTGCCTGGAGTTCATGAACAAGTACAGTTATTTTTTAATGATGAATATAGACAGTCATGATGACATGGTGAACTCTACAAGTAATAGGCGTTGGACAATATATACACATCTGTTGCATGCGCAACAACTGCCCCTCAGTCGGCCCACTCTTTTCCTACTGAGCTTTGCAGGAACCAAGCGCGAATGATCATGGAAAAATATCTTCACAAATGCTCTATCGCAGGGGAGGCCATCACCCTGGTGACTAACAGTTTTCCTTCAACGAGTCAGTTGCTGGCAAACTCAACTGGTAGTGCGTCAGCAAACAGCGGCATAATTCGTGCTGATCTTCTTCAAGGCTCTTTCAAAACAAAACGCAAGAACTGCTCCGCACACAGTGCAACACAACAACTGAACGTACAAAAAGAAAAGGGTCCAAAGTACTCCTCAAAAGTCCAAAGGCCTTATTAAGCTTTTCAAAGGGTTAAAACAAGGTGGACTAAGCTTGCCTGTCATTAATTCGCTGATAAGACCAGTGACAAGGGCTGTCTATATTGAGGGCAAAACACAGTTTTATAGCCAATTGTGTAAACAATACTTGAAGCCGTGAGTATATGTATGCGTTCTAAAAAAAAATTGTACGCTACTGAGTTTTGCCCCAAAGTTTACTCAACATACACGTGAAAGAAAAGCGAAAAAAAAATACGGTGTGTTTTACTAGAACGTGCATCCAATTATTTTGCTAAAGAATGCCTTTGTACACAGGCTTGTCGAATGCAAGTAAGACACGGGCTTGGCTTTGGGCACACAGACCAGCGAACACACTTGCGAAGTCCTCTCGGCGGCGGTCCTTGCCCATTTGGTATCGTCTAAGACTTGCACTATTCGCAGCAGAAGCAACAACATGACTAGGAATGCTTGAGAGTTAATTGTGAAGACATTTGTACCATGGACCGCAGGGTCAGTCCCCTGGGCAGGCGCTGGCAATGCCTTCGTCACGTTTACTTTGTTCTTCTTCCCTCCGGCGTGTTTGTACAAAGAGGGGGGCGGGCGGCCCGACGGGGGGCAGGCACTGAAGCGTATCACATGGCCCATTGAAAGACAGATAGCGCGGGGCGCGGGGTCAAACGCCCCCGGGCCGCTGGCAGTCCGGGCTGTGCCAGCGCGCAGTCCGGTTGCAGGGGGTCACCGAGTTGGAGCGCACGACGACGCGGCGCAGCCGGCCGCCGCCGCCGCCGCACGGCGGGCTCCCGTCGCGCACCGTCCGGTTGGGCGGCGCGCGAACGCACGCGCCGTACAGCTCCTGCTCCTGGTCGGCGTCGCGGAGCCGCACGCTGCCGGCGTGCTCCTCGGGCAGCGCACCGTCGGAGGCAGCTCGAGCGCCAAGTCGGTGCGCACCGACGCCGCGCGCACCTGGGCGTCGCGCGCCGCGGCCAGGGCGGCCCGCTGGCGCTCCGCCGCGCTGGCAGACGAGTACAGCGCCTGCACGGAACCATAGGAGAACTCTTACAGAGAACGTCAATTCCCTGGCTGACAGTTCTCGAAGCTACTCTGGAAGCAAGCTGTTAGCACCTTCGCATATTTAACAGGGCCCGCTGCTTCCAGTTAGATGTATGCTACGTACGCATGCATGGCACTTGAAGCGCGAATAAGCCCAGCTGGCAGTTTGAAAAAAAAAAAAAAAAGGCGAGGCATGCAAAGAGCCACAAGGAATCGGCATCATGTTGCCAACGGGAGCATGCAGTCCGCTCATCTCCCAACCAACTGGGACAACACGGCCGGATGCAGACTGACGTACCGACTGCACGGGCGGCAGGAGCACGTGCTGGTAGGGCTGCGGGTCGTGGGGCGCCGGCCGACTGCGCCGCTCACTCCACGACCGGGCGCCCATCCTGTAGTGGCTCACGATGCAGGCGACCAGCCCCAGGCTGAACACCGAGTTGAACAGACCGCTCACCACCTGGCTCCAGGATGCTGCACAAGATGCGAGACGAGATGATGCCGCATCGAGGAGCAAAATTACATCAAATACGGAAAGCGAAAAGCAATGCTGCAGGGCGGCATACTCGTAGGGCACGCTCAAGTCTATTTTAAACACACTGCCAAGAATTCGCGCGGTGCACGTCCGCTGAAGCAAACCCACGCGGCGGCGCTATTGCTGGCAGTTCCGACAGCGCGAGTATCTGAGCCTGAATGCGCAAAGCGCTTCATGAGCATGCAAACGCAAACAGAAACTCGCCGTTGGGAATTTATCATTGCTGCCCACACGAGGAAACAAAACGTCTGAAACACACAAAACTGCTGGGCGATACTTTCCCCAATGGCGAAAGAAAACGCTGCGAAATTCGGAAGCGCGGGTTCACATTACACCAACTTCTTTTGGCCCTGTATCCTCCTTTTGCGCTTCGTCCGCCTCATGAGGTGAGGCAAGTATGAAGCCCGCACGGGTAAGAATTTGCATAACTCAAAATCCACGCAACCAACGTCAGTTTTCGCCAAAGGAATATATGTTCATTAGCACATTACGTTCGTAATGAGTAGTCACAAAGTAAAATTGCCAGAGTCCGCATCGACTGATTGATACTGACGTTTTAAGTGCCAAAGCCACCACCTTTATGAGACACACCACAGTGGAGCCTCAGGATTATTAGCAATGGTAATTGCTAAGGTTCTACGTCCCAAAATGAGTTAATCTGGCGGAGCACATCTGGCTACGCATTGCTAAGCTTGCTCTAGTGAATCTTTCTTTCTGCAAACCAGGATTACTGGCTAGCACGAGCCGTAAAACGCATTACGGCTGTTAGAAACATTCTACGAAATAAAATATAAAACATAACTGTGCTATCAATAAAACAGTCTCCCTGTGCTCATCAGAGATCAGAGAAAAAATTGCCTGAAATTCACGCACACGTAATAGGCGCCGCAGAGAGAAACATGTCACAATGTTTAGGCGTCCGATAAATCGGCCTGACGTTTTTTTTTATTTTTATGAAACCTTATAGAACAGTTGGTAGCTTTATTAAACGGTTCGTGGCGTTTGTGAACGTCGTGTGTTGTGCATGCAGTTTGTTGTTTCATATTACTTTTTCTGGCGCCGTTAAATACACGGCAGTCCACAATTATGACCACAAATTTCGATTGCAGCCTGAACTTGGGCCCGTAGTTTGCAATATTTCATTTTTTCATTCATAATCGCCTCACGGATAGGCCAGCTGCTATAGTTTCCTAATAATACGTTAGAGGGAAATTGGCCCTGGTGTTTATGCGAAATGCAGCGCATGGGGCTTCAGCCAGCTTGCGAATGATGGGTAGTACATGACCCTTTTTTCGCCTCCGTGTGGCTATAGCAGCCGCTTTGTCGCGAGCTGAAGTTCAGCAAACGTTCAGCAGTGGAAACTTTACCACCTTGACCTTTTAGCAGATGTGTGCTAACGTCCATGTCGACGGCGAAGGGCGAGATGGAAAATCAAACAGCTCGATAGGGCCTGTAGTGTTCGACGCCAACGCGGGATCAGTAAGCATGAAAGGCAGCGCCCGCAAGCTGGCGCAGATGCGCCAGTGTTTTTCGAGTGGACGGGACGGAATTGTACTTTTGTCAGGTCTTTATCGGCCCATAACCAGAGACGGCTCTGATAACGGCGAGCGTAATCACCGTAATCAGAGTCATCAAACAGGTGCGACTGTCATGAAAGATTATTTTTTTTTGCTTTCATATCGCGAGGTAAATGATCTGTCGAAGCACTGAGCACAGAAAAACAGCGTTGTTCGCCACAACCGAAAATATACGAGCACTTGTATAACTGCCAACCCGTTCACAATCGACTGAGATTGAGACTTCAAAGCCCCTTGAATGTGCGACACCTAAGCTCAATGTAAGAAACCTACGCTAGCAGTTTGGAAATACTAGACAAATGAGCGAATCGTTGCTGCACGCCTCGAAATACAACAGAGAAAAATAATATATACGTCACGCAGGCACATGCACCCGAGAGAGGCGGATCAGAGCTGTTACATGGTGCACCTTGATTGCCTCACATGGCTTTTATTCCCAGTGAGACCCTCCCGTTTTTTCGCGCGCACTCCACGCGAGGTCTGCATATCATTATCAGCATCGCACTTCGTCAGCTGCCTCCAACAGCAACTACTCGCGCAGAAAGCCGCCTAGAGAGAGCGTTTTTTTTTTCTTTTTTTCCGCGGCTACAGTTTCACGGGAGAGGCACAAGTTGTGCTGCGAAACAGGCGATCCACGAATCCTACACAGGCAGTTTTACCGTGGAGTATCCTCGCTTTCTGAGCGCAAACAAAACGTGCGTTTGTTGGCGGCACCACAGCATGCAACCGCGATGCACGATCCACCACACCACGCGTCTTGCGTTGGCGAGAGGTCCTCTGTGTGCGCGCGCAGCTGCCGTGGAGCATGCACGCGCCCGATGCCACTCAATCCCTGCAGATACGCTCGCTAACAGTTTCGCTAAGTAGCGCCTGCTTCATCGTACCAGCGATGAGTGTCGTCCGCCTTGAGCTTTCCAGGTGGACTGCGTTACTTCAGATTATCCACGGCCGTTGCTCAGGATAAATAACGCATATACGAGAACGAAACGCATGAGAGAGAGAGAGAGAGAGAGAGAGAGAGAGAGAGAGAGAGAGAGAGAGAGAGAGAGAGAGAGAGAGAGACGATGCGCTGCGCTGCAGGACCTATCTTCAGGCTAGCGGTGGTCAACAAAGTGTACATCTGATCTCGCGGCAGCATTTCTTCGGCGATATCCATCCGAAGCACGCAGTGAACATAACCATTTAGTTCCTCGTAAGAAGCGTTACACTGGTCACAGCACGATATGAAGAACGTGGCAGACGGTAAGAGCTCTCAACCGGAAACAAGTAATTACATGATGTGTCTGCGGCAGTTCAAAGGTTGTCGCCACTTAGCTTTCTTTATAAAAAGATTTTACACTGGTACTTACGCTATCCTCATTAAAAGCATTTGCTAAAGCGTTGCAACGCAAGCCTGTGTTATACCATTAGTTACAGGTCATCATCACGGGGAGGAGGATACAGAGCCTAAGAGCTTTAGTAATAACACCAAGCCTATACCAAGCGACGGGCCCCAACAGCGCCATAATCTGCGCGCGAATGTTCTGCAGAGCAGCAGCGGGTGTTGGAAACCCAACAGAAGAATGCGAAGACAAGTTTCATGAAGGTAACCTGACGGCATTCGCGAATGAATAGAACACAAGAAGCTAGCTCCTTTTGTTCTCAATTATGTTGTCAGCACAAAAAAGACATTATTATATACTTAAAGAACTCTAGGTTGTCGAAGTCAATACGGAACCCTCCACCATAATATCTCACGCAGAGAGCGAGGAAGAGCTCGAGACACCAAATGTCAGCACGTAATCAGTCGTCGTTCTCCTCGGACATCTGCGTTCGCATGGAAAGATTCAAGACTTGGAAGCTTCCATTCAAAACGTAAAGCAGCGATTGGGGTTCTGTTTTGTTGGATATCGCGACTATGCTGCGCCAGGCCTTACGGACCATTTTCACGCTTATACCTACGACCTTTAAAAGTATATTACTCGCACAAAAACGTTTGTCACGGTTGAAGCGAATTCGCTGACACACTTTATTTATGACTACTGGCGAGAGCTATAGCGTTGAGCTAAAGACGAGACAAGTTGTCAGACAGAGACGATATGGTCTTTCTAGCTTTAACCGCCATACTTAGCTTCACGCTATGGCTTTCGCCAATAGCCCATACCCGCCGCTCGTTAAAGCTGGCACCACGTCTAGTCACTCGTCCGGGAACTCTTTCAAACGAACGGCTTCGTGAATATGGAACACGGGCCACGAAGCATTCGACACAATTTTCTGACGTGAACATGTAGAGATGTCTGTCTAGTGGAACCAAAAAGCTACGAAGTCGAATCATCCAGTGGCATTTCAGTGGGTTCCCAGTCACTGCGGAAACAAGGAAAATTAAATGGCAGATAAGTTGGCGAGAACCGCTCATCATTCTACGCAAACGTGCCTCATCCCTGCATCTGACTATGATGTAACTAGAATTTTAAGAACAACGAAACGTGAATTATGCCTGTCTACCTGGTTCACAGACGAAACAAAGGAATCGATCCTATATATGCTGTTGATCATAATCTTAATGCCAATTAGACCGGGACCTCCCAAGGCGTATCGACACACTCATACATCGCTCAAGACTCGGAACTGCTTACAAAAATTACTTCATACTTCGTATTCAGCGTGCAACATTGTCAGCATGCTCATGCGGCCACGACGACGAGGATATACATCACCTCTTGCTCGACTGTCCGAAACACGACACACACTTAAGGCGACTCGAACAGGAACTCCATACGCTAGATCCCGAGCGGCCGTTTGCGTTGGATAAAATACTAAGCCCATGGCCATCTAGAATGATTTGCAAAGCAATGAAGGTGCTGCAACGCTTCTTCGAAGAAACAAAGATTTCTGACCACTACTGGGCAGACCATAGTTAAAATTCGGCGTGTGGCGGCTTCGTGTTTCTTCTTGCCCATATCAGAACTTTTGAACTCACCTATGTAGAATTGTATATATGTATATATGCTATATTGTTTTTTTTTTCTACTCCCGATTTCTAACAATAAAGTGGGAAGGGGTATCCGTCACTTAGTAACGGTGACAATAACTCCTTCGTTTACTTTTTATTTCAATAAAAAAGGGAAATGCCACGGAGATAGCGAACAAGAGACTAATCAGACCACCTATGGAGAGTGTCGAGCTGCGGCTTTATGCCTCAAGAATTTTCATTACTTCACCGACTTCTGGAATACACTCAGATACGCGAATCAGCCAACACATTAGACGGTGTCCACACCGGAAGATCGCGCCGCAGAAGCTATTTAGAATGCGGAACAGTCGACGATGAGTGGACGTAAATCTCCGGAGCCGCAGACGTGTTCTTCGTACAACGAGCGATC